TTTTAAAAATGCTTGGTAATTATTTAAAAAACTTAATATTAAATTATTATTTTAAAGGTTAAACAATAAGTAATTATTAAACAACATATAATTGCTTAAAAGAATTAATTTTAAATATAAATTTAAAAAAAACGTTTCTTAATATTTATTTTAATATACTTATCCTTAATATTTATTTTATAAAATAAAAATTTATAACAATAATTTTAAGTAAAAATCTTATAAATATAAGTTTAGGTAAAAAAATACGGGATAATATATTAAAAATTATTAAATTATTTCTTATTTATATTATTAATAATATCTTTTTATAATAAGTTAAAGTATTATATTGTAAATATTATTACTGTTATTAAATCTTATAAAAAATATTATTTATAACATTAATTACAATATTAATTCTTATACCGCTAATAACATTTTCGCTTAAATATTTTACGTAATTATTATTTATTACGTTTAAAGTTTTTATTACGTTATTAATATTATTAATTATCTTATTATAAATAACAAAATGAATATTTTATAATAAATTAATCTTAATGGCTTTATATATTTTTAATTAAATATTAATTATTATATTAATAATTATAATATTTATATTATTATATTTAATTTTTAAATTTTTTTATTTCTTTTCCTTATAATAAACAGGTTAATTTTTAAAACAAATATTTTAAAATAATAATAAGCCATTTTTTTATTTTTATTAAATAAATATGTTAAAAATTTATCGATATTAATTATTTTTAATAATTTTTCAAAAAAATTATTCTTTTTAAAATATATTTTATAATATACCAAATATTTTATTATTAATAATTGTAAATTATAATATATTCGATTAAAATATACCTTTTTTTATTCTTAAAAATCCTTTTAAAAAACCTTTTATAATTTTTTATTATATACGTTATATTAATACATTATAAAATTTTCCGCATAATATATATTAATATTATTTTTTATAATTTTAATAAATTTAAAAAAATTAAATTTAATACTTTTTTTTACTATTTATAATATATTTTAACTATTATTAAACTATATTATTTATAATCGTTATAATTTTTATTATATTATTTTTAAATATATAATAAATATAAGCTTTATTTTATCGAAAATATTTAAAACTTTTAAAATAACGTAATATTTTCCGCTATTACTTATAAAAAAATAAAACTTAACACTTTTACCTTTTTAATAATTTTAAAAATTTTTACTATTATATAAAAAAAATAATATCGTTTTTTTTCTTTATTACTTTATAATTAATTAATTAATTAACTATTAATTAATATTAAATTAATTATATATTATATAATAATATAAAAAAAATATAAATAATAATTATGTTTTAATTAATTATTTTAAAGTAAAAAAAAAAGATTCCCTCGAATAAAAAAAGATATTTATTATATAAATACGTGGGTTGTGCGCGGGCGGTATGTGTAAGCATAACCCTGGTTATGTAACAAGGTCACGTGACCGTTATCCCAATAGCTTTAAATTTAAAAGTTATATTAAAATTTTCCTTATTTAACGATATAGATTTTATATTTATACCATATTAATTGGTAAAATTATAAGCAATAATATCCTTTAACAGCTTTACATATAAATTTGTATGTATAACTGTTAGTGTATACTCTTATATTCATTTCACCACAAATATTAGCCCTGAAATTTTCTTCAATTTTTATATATAATAAAAATATAATATGCTATTCAAAATCAAAGACCGTATATTTTTATCTATTTTCTTTAATTAAATATAAATATGCGAAATCGTTGATTTTGTATGGGAAATGGGTGGCCCCCACTAGGGTGGCCCCAGTAAGGGTGGTTTGACTTATAATCGAGTAACTTCCTAATAAATAGGTTGCGCCACCTACGGTGTTGTCTTATTGAGGTTTCACAACGCTTGACTTCGATGATAGGAGCAAGACACAAGGTGACATTCTACTCAAATCTGCTTGGTAAGGCTTTCTGTATCGTTCTAAAAGTGGCATATACCGACATCAATTTAATTTGTCAAGTCTTACACGCCAATAATGTTATAAGCAATACAGCTTCGGAGAGACAGTTAACCATATGACGTCGAATACCTTTCTGTTTTCGTCCTGACGCTTACACGGTTTCCATTTGCTGCATGAGAATTTAATATACGGAAGTACGCCTAACAATAAGATACTATATAACTCCGGCACTACGTCATGAAGATCCTATGTATGTCTCCAAGATACTATAGTTAATATCGATTCGATCCTGTGCTAAAGTGCTCCTATAGAACCAACCAAGAGAATATAATAGATACATAGTGGCTCAGTTGATGTTTCGCCTCTAAGCTTTCAAATCAACCCCAAAGGGTCAAAGAGGCCACAAGACATATATAAGAATACTTATTTCCCATTATTACAGATCGAATTAAATGGCAAACCCCGTGTACGATACTACTTGTGTAACCTAGACACTTATCAATGGTGACAAGTAGCGAGGGGGAGACGAGGCTTCAACTCGTTAGGCTTATCTAGGTACCTATAAAGCTTCTCGGAACTGTTACCGAGCCAGTTCTATGAGGAGGCAAGGTAGATTGCGGGTCAGTCTACCCGGGGTGACAATAGAAATATAATACCAGTAACTATACTATATATAATAGATATTTATTAACTCCTAATTACTTATCGTGACTAGCCCCTTTTATTCAAGGCCATTCATGCCCTCAAACGCTCACCACCCTACGAACTCTCCATCTTCCGAACCCTCCTCTCAACCCCCTCCTCAAATTCACTCACTCCCCCCTCCAACACACTCATCGCTCCCGCTCTCAACCTACAAACCAGCCTCCTCCTTATATCCCCACCCCCACCCCTATCATCTTCCTCCCTCTCCTCCCCACCATCCCCCACAACCCCCTCCACCACGCCCCTTACAAACCACCGGTCATGACTAACCACCACAACCGCGCCCTCCCATCCCCGCAGCGCCTCCCGCAACGCCGCCACCGTCTCGTAGTCGAGATGCGTCGTCGCCTCGTCCAAAACCAGGCACTGCGGGCGCCGCCGCAGAATCCGCGCGAGTTCCAGCCTGACGAGCTGCCCGCCGGAAAGCCGGCACACGGGGACGTCGGAGGCCAGGCGGCCGGGCAAGCCGAGGGAGCCCAGGAGGCTTCGTATCTCGCCTTCGTCCAGGCCGTCGTCGCTTTCCTGCGCCGACAACAGACTAAGAGCCGTCATCTGCGGATCCGCCCGTCCCCTGTTCTGCAGCGCCTCGACCGCGTGCTGCGCGTAGTACCCCAGTTTCAACCGCGGATGCCTGGTCACCGTCCCGGACGACGGCCGTGCTTCGTCGACCAGGAGCTTGATTAGCGTGGACTTGCCGCTGCCGTTGAGGCCGAGGATGCCGATGCGGTCGCCCATGCTGACGGATATGTCGATGTCTTTTAGCACGGCGGGCGTCTTGGCGGTCCCCGCGTATCGGAAGGAGACTTTTTCTACGGAGATCAGGGCTCCGGGGAACCGGAGCTCGGGTGGGTCCGGCAACGTGAAACTGACCGGGCGTTCGTCCTGCGGGATGTCGATTTCGGCGCGCGCGGTTAGGTGGTGTCCGACCAAGTCCCGGTTGAGCTTGAAACGGCCGCCCTTCGCATTGACTTCCACTCCCCACCTATCGTCCAGCTTTTTCTGGCGGGATTTAGCCTGGCGAATCTTATTCTGGTCGTCCTTGGCCTTGCCCTCGCGCATGTTGCGCTGGATCGTCTGCTGGATGTGTTCCTTCTGCTTGTCCTGCGCTTCCTTCATCTTCGTCAGATACGCCTTCTTCTCGGCGCGCGAGGCTTCGTATGTCGGCAGGTCGCCGTGGAAATACGCTAGGTCCTTGTCCTTGATGATGAGGAGATCCGTGCACAGGGAGATGAAGTCGCGGTCGTGGGAGACGAGAATTAGGGTGGGCGGGTCGGACGACTCGGCTAATGCTGTAAGGTGACGCTGCAGCCAGATGATTCCGAGGAGGTCGAGGAAGTTTGTGGGTTCATCGAGGATTAAGATGTCTGTGTCTTGGAGTAATGCGGCTGCTAAGGCTGTTCGCATTTTCCACCCGCCGGATAAGCTTGAAACGCGTTGCGCCATACGGGATTCTGTAAAGCCGAGACCTGTAAGGATTTTCTTCGCCTCTGAGTCGGTTTCTGCTAGCTTTGACGGCTCGACTTGGAGCTGGAGGTCAGCAAGCATATTGGCAGCTTCGCTTGTCTCCTTTGCGACAGTCTCCGGTGAGATATCCTCGTCTTTTTGTTCATATCTAAGTTTTCTGTCAACAATATGCCGTGTAGTTGTGTGTGCAAAGATAGTAATACTCCGACTGGAATTCAGCAACTTTCTTCTCTATGGTGATCAGAGCCTTTCTAGCCTGCATACCTCTCGCCCCGCTACGAAGCCTTGCATCTTTATCCTTAAGAAATAACTCTTTTTGAAGGCGTCCATGGTGGACTTTCCGAAAGGCCCTCAGAGCGCCAAAGGGGTCACCTCCATCGACACCTTCTGATAAAACTACGGCTGATTAGTTTGAGAACTTATAAGTCTGGGATGGGATACGGACTATCGATTTCATTTTGCACCTCTTGCTTGGCAGTGGCGCTCTCAATAACTTCTTCTAGCACTGCTGGATCCTCACCTTCACTAGGGGCAGGAACCGGGCCTTTGTCGGCATTGACATCTCCAACGTCAGTCTGCTGGAGAATAGTTATGCGGGTCTCTTCTGGTATGCCCGGTATGAGCTTTTCCGCCACCGCCTTTAATAGGGCTGTAATAAAACTTATTAGCTATAATTCTCTCATGGCTAATTATGGCTTCATTTGGTTCCATTATACTTACTTGATTTCCCAGTACCATTCCTTCCGATGAGAGCATACCGCTGACCGGCTTTGAGTCTCAACTTAGCATTACTAAGGATCTCTATACCTTCGCTTTTTGCCTTGGCTTTGCCTTTAGCACCGGACTTGGATCCTGACTTGACGATTATATTCAGTCCTTCGATATCTAACTATTACTATATCTATTAGAGACGTTACTATATAGAGAAAATAAGGATTATAATTACCTCGCGATAGTTAGGGGTCCCGATGTTGAAGCGAGTTTGTTTAGAGGTGCATACAATAGTCGAAACGCTCTCAGCTTCCATGGACGTCATGTTAACGACAGTATATCAAATATCCTGGCTATTAATAAACAATATGAATTGGATAATTCTTTATCGAAAAGGGGGGCGAAACTGATATATGTTATAATATAAATCTTTAAGCCGCATTGCATAACGTGACTTTTGTTAATTCGGTCTAAAAGTCCAGTCTAGCATTCGATATATTGATCGAGCTTATACGATCTCTAATGTTACTATTACCTTATTAGATATAGTGCAACCGACTTTCTTGATTTTAGCACAGTTGCACTTATAGTCCACCGTAGATAGTGTTGGGGTGAGTTCTTGGCTGCAGTAGCGCCTATGATTCATTCTGGTTCATTGATGAACGCTTTGTGATTGGTTAAAATCGAGGTAATGACTCAGGCCGGCGTGTATATACCGCATAGCTGTGCTGTAGTCTTGTTGTCTAGTTAAGACTATGCGTACTTTTTGAGCTACCATTCTAACCGGATCAGTTACGATAGTGTATATGGCGTGCATACCTCCTATACAGGCTAGATGTGAACTCGGTATCTATCTAACTAGTGACTTGTCCACCACAACCCGGAAGCGAGGTCTATCTTCCGTCCTGATAGTTATAGAACCACCTTGAGGCAGCTCTACAATGGTACCATCGATACAGACCTTACGCCATCTAGCGTCTTCCTCTAAAGTAGTGATCTTAACCACACTAGTATCGTCGTATCCAACTCCCTCTTCCTTACCATCCTCTGTAGTCCACTTCATCCCGATATGCTTTCCATCGTTATACGCCTGCGTCATGATCTCCATAGTCTTCTCTCCACTAACAGCACCGAAATGAACGAGCCTTAATTTCCTATCTAGGGGCTTGCTAGCTGGAGATATGGTGAAGGTTTTCTCTAGATTAGATACCATCGTAGCTAGGATATATGCGTGCCGATCCCGGTCCAGCTTTTGTACATTGGAGCCATCTTTCCCGGAGAGTTCAACGATTGCATTATACGCGTGGCTCTCCTTAAGCAACTGCTGTGCAACCATACCGAAGCGCTTAGAACCGTGTTTTCGGTACTCCGGCGTGTCGCTCTCCCAGACCAGCTGGCTGTGGAAGCCGTAGCTAGCAACGATGGCCCCGTAGAGATGAGACACAGCGTCGGCGTGGCCTTCAACTTCTTCCACAGAATCAGAGCTGGAATCGGGGCTCTTGTAGGTTATAATGCGAGAGCCGGGAGAGAATTCAACCTTGAAAGAAGGTAGCGCGGCAGCTCGGCCGTTGAACAAAGTGCGCAAGCCTTGGACTAGACTAGACGGCGCTGGAAACCTTGATGTAGCGCCCGCCGACTTGTGAAGGGAGTGGAAAAGTGCATTCCCTGTACCCAACGGGAGTATAACAATCAACGGTAGACGCTCTTCCGAGTCGTGCCCCTCTACCGACACTTGACCGTTAAGCATTTCGATGACACCCCCATCACCACTAAGCAGCACCACGGTATGTTGAACCGCATCTTCATCCGCGCGACTAATCTCTCGCGCAAACTCGCGTACGCTATGAGCGCTCTGCGTAACAACCAGATCGTGCGGATTCGGCTTGGATATTTCCACCGAGTTTATAGTCGGATCCGAAGGATAAGCCTCGCGCCCCGGTAAAAGCCGCCTAACAACTTCGTTGTAAAAATTTAGAGCAAGACCCGTCCCGGAGCCAGTCGACACCACAGCATGGATGCGCCGCGACGGACTACTTTTCAAGTAATCCGGAAGACCCTCGATTAAAAATTCATCTAGGAGCGGCTGCGGTATACCAGCATCCGAAGACTGGAATAGTCTAAACGTCGGTTCCTGGTCTCCGGTTTCTTCTTTTAAGCTGAATATATCGTATAAATTGGACGCTCCGGGTTGTCTTGATATAAATATGATCTCCTCAGCCTTGACAGAACCAATGGTATTGCCTACATCAGGTTGACTGGTATCGCCGGAAATGTCACTAGGTTTAGTAGACATATTACGTATGGTACGCAAGCAAATATTATCTATAGATGCCTAAAATACTATGCCATGAAGCTATAGCGTTGATATCTCTTGTAGATATCTGTTGTGGAGGAGTTAAATAAGATATGAACGAGAGCGATCTACTTTTAGAAGCGTAACTATGTAGAGGCGGCAAGATCCGGCTTAATAAGAAAAGAGCGGGTTTGTGAATGCCAATGATAGGATTTGTAGCAAACCAGATATCCGGAAGCCTTCATGATGTGCTGCATTAGTCTCATTGCACAATCCCCGTTTTAGGTCATGCAAGGCGTTTTGATTGACTCCGACGGAGTAGTTACTATGTTGTAACTTATAGTGGGGCTAGTGCTCCCCTATTCTTTTTTGTTTTTTGTTATACTCGTCTTTTACTTCACAGGTATATGCAATAAACGAGCAAGAAGGAAATAAAGGGGTATCATTGACCGATCTAAAATCGGTCGCGGTATTGAGCTTCAAGTCTTCGTCTCCCTCCTCTCTATATTATTACTGTCCCCTATTAGTGGCCCTTCGCCTTGCTCTGAGGACCCCAATGTTCTCTGGGATTTGTCTGATATCTTACAAGGCCTTTCTTAGATATGTCTCGTCCAAGCTTCTGATCAAAGACAACCTTTAAGTTATCGATCGCTTCGCGCTCTGCATCTTTTGTAGGATCTTCCTTCGGAGTCTCGTCCGTCTTGCCTAACCGGAGCAAGGTATATGCAGGAGTATTCTCTTTTATTCTATCAACACGTACGGGAGCTTTTTCGCGGACCCATTCTCGCATGACATGCCAAATGACTGACCATGGCGCATTTGTCTTTATACTGCCGCCCTTGCAATGACTACGAGTAACCTCATAGCCTAAAGACCGCAAAGCGCCCCTAAAACTATCTTCGTCAGGAGACATACAATGCAGAGTACCCGCTAGCTTCGCCGGGTGAAAATAGAATGGATAATGTTCGATCGCAGCGAATTCGTCCTCCCTGTGATTTTCCATCCTATCTTCTGGTGGTGTAAGGAACTCTTCCAGTGCTGTTTGTAGCATTCCTTCTATCCGCGGCTTTGTGCCGTAGATCTCGTCGGGAGCACTAGGAAGGTCATCCAAAATTTTCTTGATAAAGCCTGGAGAATGCAACGGTCCGCCGTACATTGGGCCGCTGAGATGCATCTTCGAACCACATTCTTTGCAAAGCCGGTCGGTGGTCGGCGCCATAGCGAGTCCGTGCTTATAAAAGACGCCTTTCCCAGACGCATTAGGTGCTTTTCTGTTGCGTGCCAGGAACTGCGTTTCCCAGGCTCCGCACCCCTGGTCGCAGCTATACGCGATCATAGTCTTCCCCGCAAGGAACTTGACTTCTGCTGGCGACTTCCTAACCCTAACAAAGATCCGGATGTAATAGTCAATCGATAGACTCAGCAGGGGCTCGATAGCCAGCCCATACCTCGCTGCTGTTGAAGCAAGGCCGTGCAGTATGAGGCGCAGCCCTACTTCGTGAGAATGCCATCCTTTCGCAGGGATGCCGCCGTAAAGAGCAAATGTTTTCTCGGGATACCCATGTGACGCAAAGACGCTCGAATCTGTGCATGTAACACACAGTAACCCCCCATCGTCTCGTACGGCGTTAAGTGCTGCGTCGAAAAAGGTAGCAGCGGTTCCATATGGATCCAGATCGATCACGTTGTATTTGTTGTTTGGCCTGTTTGGTTTATTACCGCCCTTCTTGTTCTTCCCCTTTTCTTCTGCGACTTCATAAGTAAGCAGGGAGTACATGTGTGCACGGGCGTCGCCCGATGTCGCGTTTACTTTGGATTCAACACCGTTATGCTCCGCATTTTGCTTGATAGCCTTGACAGCTGAGGGACTAAGATCATTTGCAGTAACTGATGTAACAAATGGTAACTCTTGGGCATATCGTAGAGCTCGAAGCCCCGTAGCCGACAGAGCATCGAGTATGGTAAATTTAGGTGTAGGTTGGTTATTTCTTGCTTCGGTAGATTTCGTCTCTTGATCTTTGGTCGGCAGTGAGTTTTCGGCAGGTTGGTCGGTATTAGGCGCGTCGCCAGAAGGTACGTTATCGCTATTTCCATAGATTTTTTCAGAACTGTTCTCTTGTGATCCTATATCTCGACCATTTGGCGCGTCTGGAAGGGTTATATCTGCGTTGTCCGACTGAGCCCCGTTCTTGGCCACATCGTCAGCTGTAGACGTAACGCCGTCTGCATTCTCGGTTACTTTTTCCTTCTTCGAGTTGCGATCACCGGTGTCTGTCTTCTCACGTTTCCTCTTGGCTGCTTTTTCGGCATTTCCAGCCCGTCTCTTAGCAAATGCGTCCTCGGCATACGCTTTGATTGCGAGAACCGTCAAGTCGCGATTGAACTGCTGAATGGGATTGTAGAAGACCTTTTGCTGTTCCTCGACATTCGACTTCTTATCTGCGATATCTTTCGCCGAAAACGGAACTAAGATACGAGCTAGCCCTTCCTTGACTTCCGTAAACTCTTGGCCGTCTTTCGTGATAATCTGAATATCGGTCGTCGCAGCCGAAGAACCGTTCTTGGTTTCCGAGGCCATGGTTCGTACAGCTCGAAGACGATATGGTTTAAGGAGAAATCGATTTACATGCCGAAGCGCTAATCGAGAGGATGCAATCGATAGGGAGAAGAGCATACAATTAAGTTCTAGGAGGGTAGTATTGAGGACGAAACTAAGAATATCGAGGTTGCGCAAAGATCATATAAGTCGCGAATAACTCCAATTCCCTTTTTTTTTTCTGGGAAGGGCGGGGCCATGGAGGGGTCTTAGCTGTTCTGCCGGGCGGTCAAAAGAGCTATGTATGTATACCTAGGTACCTAGCTCATGCATGTACCTACTGTCGAGACTACTTGCCCCCTTCAACACTCTTTCCTCAAGTATATGAGCATGACTAAACGGAACGTGTCGACTAAACACACAAAAATGGAAAGAGCAATAAAGAAAGAAATATCCAAGAGAAGGAACCTCACTTATTTCCGTATAAGTGTCATCATGTCTTTTCTGAACCCATCATCTTTAAGGAAGAGCCCGCTGCTTTTCTCTACCTTGCTCCTGTATTCCAACATATCAGATCTGTGCGGCTACTTCTGTCAATATTCACAGCTATCCTTATTGAATTTATAGATGCTATTTATCCAGGAAGTTCCTTAAACATGAAGTCTGGGCTCCAGCACCTACCATACAAGAGAAATTGATCGTAGCTCATCATTCCTCCTCAACCCTGGCTACCAATTGAATAAGAACTCCCCAAATGATAACAGGCATCCTTTAAAGCCGCTTCCTAGAATAATCATGCTTGAGGTAGGTAGTCATAGCTTAGGAATCTCTTTGACAGGAGAAGTCCTGGCTGGAAATGGCTTTCCCTAGGACATCCTAATTCTAACATCTCACATTTGTGTCTTTCTTTTGAACTCATTCCGTCTCATCTCATCTAGACTCTAAGAATGGCGTCCACAATCTACCCACCCAAGGAAACCAACTCCCATCGTTCTCATATTCCACGCCTTAACATCGACGCGGCAATGGCCTCTCAGCCGTCATCGGCACCACCTTCTCCTAAACCAAACAATAGCAACGGTAGTGCTCCTTCAAAATCTAAGGGCCATGGGAAAGATACCTATCGCCTCCTCTCGCACGACGAGTGGGTTCAGTTCTGCCGAGGTGTTGGTGTATTCAAGGATGATGAGAGCGAAGAGGTCATCCGCCCGACCAGTACGCTGTGGCCACCAAAGGGGTTCAGAGATGGTTTGTACCAAGATGTTCTCACTGAAAAGACCAAGTTCACGTACATGTTTCATTCCGTGGACATCGTCAGTTGGCTCTTGATGCTTCTCCAGATTGCAATGGGTGCCGTCTTGACTGCTCTTGGGTCAGTATCCTCATCGAAGAATGGGACAGCAATCGTAAGTTATTTTTACAATTATATCATCCTAGCATAAATAAACTATTATAGTTTTCCATCTATAGATTATCCCCCTCATTTTGAGTCAGAATTTCCACAGCACTGACACATATTTTATAAATAGACTACTATTGCTGCGATCAATACCTGTGTCGGCGGAATCCTCGCCTTGCTACACAACAGTGGCCTGCCAGCCCGGTATCGCTCAGACAGGAATGAGTTCTATAAGCTCGAGGAACACATAAAGTCGATCGTCGACACAGCCCTTGTGCCTGTCGATCAGGACATCAACGCGGTCCTTGCTAACTGCTACGAGATATTCCGCGACGCTAGACAGACTGTTCAAAACAATATCCCGGCTTCTTACACTACTTCACCAACTAGTGGAAAGGCGCCTAGCGCCAGGATCTCGAAGGTAATTGAGCCTAAGAAGTGAAGTCAGTGAGGTCGGTGATATCAGATCATTATGTTGTTCGGCCACCAGATAGCTTCATATTTTCTATCCTGGGAAGCATGTTTTTTGAGGGAGCCTGAATGTTCGGTTTATGGATTCTTATTAGTACCACATGTTAGCCTTTTGTTAGTCAGGTCGGGTTCAGTTCTTATGGAGACGCGATAATGACTTCTAGGTCCTACGGAGCGTGTCAAGGGTTAGAGTTATAAATTTTGTAAGTAGAAAGGTCTTATTTTTGCTCACGTATTAAGAAGTAGGCGTCACGACTAATACAAGAGGAATAGTTTAGATGAAAGTGACTTCTCAGTCTATCGACTCTGCACCTGTCCGTGACTCAAAAATAGATATGACTGAAAATAGAGCTAGAATAGTATTCTTCAGAGCACAGTGTATACTCATTAGAGAGAATGACTAAATACGAAAGACGGGTATGGTTTCATAGATTAGCGCTGAGAGTTGCTTGAGTTCTGCCTGGAATAGGGGGTTGGTCCATGTACATTTCCCCCCTGACTAACAACATATACACCATTGATAGATGCTTAGGTATTTATATTTAGGAGGTAATTATATAATTCATCAAGAGCTTACCTGCTTGTAGTCACCGTACAGTCACACTTAGGAGACAGGCCTTTACTAGTATATGGTGGGGTAAGCATTCCCACCTGCACGTACCTGTGCACACAAAATCCAGTGGGTACCTAGGTACCTAGCCTAATCCCAAAAAGCCTCATCACCAAGGTCGCCGTCGCACCCCTCACCCCGTTACCAGGCAACCACCTCCCGTACCTTCCGTACCCCCCCGCCATACCGCACACATATATCCCAATTCCCGCTCTCCCAAGCACAATTGAGGAGTTGGCCAAGCGGTCAGAGGCGCAACAGTCAGTATGAATGGACCACCATACATTACCTGAACTAAGACCGGGGTTCGAATCCCCGCGCGCGCACGTTTAAACCGGATTCCTCGGGGTTAATTACGCATCAGCTGAGACTTTAGTCATTCAATCGATTATATTGGTTGGCTCTTTAATCTCGAGGCTCTTGTGAAAACGTGTGCGCGGAGGCGGTGGGATGATTAAACTTTTTGTTTTTATTTTCTTTAGAAAAATAGGTACATATTTGCAAGGCTGAGTGAGGATAGATGATAGATGGATTTGGCTAGCCCTGCTTTGGCATTCTCGTTGTTCTATGTGCGTTAGTTAATATAATCACTTACCGAACACCTTACCTACATGCTTCTAATCCCATGGGCAGTAATACATAAATAAGTAGCTCCTTAAGTATTTTTTATATTTTCTCCTGCAATATAATCACTTCTAGAAACATCATGACACTCAAATTAAATCTTTTTATTCTAGCTTCTTGGAAACAAGCTTTATGTTCTAGACGATAGGCGTCTATGCTGATGCTATCCCACCCATGCCCTTCATATGCATGCATTGCGCAATTATAATATATGCCACAACTTAATCTACCATTTATCTGGACCGAAATGACTACCATTAGGAACCGTGTTGTAAGAGCAAGCCTGCCAGTCACAACCTTGTCTATATACATCAGTTCCCCACCAGCTGAATCCTTCCATCCAGCCTGGGTATATGAACCCGAAGAAGACAATAACAATGCCGAATGCCAAACCTGAATCCAACGCCGCGCTGAGAGTCATGGTGTATTTGGCCCACCATGCTGACGCCCGGTTCTTGATCAAGTAATTAAAGATATAACATACTACAGCCCAGACCGAGAAGTTAAGCCCAGTCGCTGGCGGGATCCAACTAAGAGACCCGAAGAGGACGGGCAAGTTTATCTTGCGAACAATGCTGGACCTTTTATTGCGGCCGTACAGCCATAATGGGACCGGGGCGACGGCTCCGATGAGAAAACACCATACCAGAGGGCGGTAAGTTGCATTCGGTCCGAAAAATTCGGCTGGCCCAACGACGCCCCAGAGGATAGATCCGTTGAAGTGAACTCGGGCGATCGGGCAGGTAAAGCCGTTGATGGCCGAGGGCGTGCAGATTCCAGGTACGTTACGGAACATCCAGTTGAGAACAAGGATCTGTGTGATTGACGAGACGATTGTTGCGACTATCTGAACTGTGAATAGAAGTCTCGGTGGAATCTTCATGTAATGTCCCAATTTTAAGTCTGCTGCGAACTTGATGCCCTGAGCGGACGAGATATAACCATAGGTCACAAAGACCATATTAGCGACCGGTCTGCCGGGGAAAATGACACCGCAGATGAGTTGACAGATAAGATAGATACTACTATGCTGATTTGTTACAGCCATGACAATACCGATAGGTATAAAGAGCACGGCGCATATTCCGAGAGCAAGAAGTAAGCCATACCATGGTAAATGTATCGGATAACTATACATGTGTAAGTAGGGATATTTCAAATAAGAATTTGGTAGACTTACTATTCAACGACGAAGATGCCTATCGCCGTCATCGATATGAACGTCAACAAATACCACGTTATCGGAGCATCCTTATATCTCCTCATAAGGCGATTGTGAACATCTTCGTGGCTCAAAATATCATCTAAGGTGGAACTAGTTCTAGTAACGCTAGGTTGATCTCCATTAATAGTGCCGCCTCTGATATCGCTCTCCAGTGGTTGGTACATCGGTCTGTCCTCGTCCCCTACTTCTTGTAATGAACGCTTCCATTGTACATAGATATCCTTGCCGTGCCAGCAAGCAGTATGCGTTAGGAGTGACGCGAGCCCGGCGAATTGAAGTCCGTAACTGAGGACATAGGTGATCGGTAGAAATACCCGACTATAATTCGAGTAGGCTGTTCTGTCGAAATAAAAGTCTTCTGTTAGTATTTTACTAACATCGTATATCTTTCCAGTATTGTCAAAGACGGATGCCGAGAGAATCGGCATATAAGATGAGTAGAATAAATTGCAATAATACGCAATAGGTGCGATAATCCACATTACTATCACCAAACCGCCGATGACGTTCATTGCGGCCCAGAAAGGTGTCAGGAGCGGTGATCCAATATACGCGATCTGTGCCCAGTCAAAAGTGAGCGGAAAGAGCCCCAAGCCGGAGACAACTCCAAATAGGTTCGCCACTACGACATTGTCCGGAGCGAACCAGGTGATAACATTGAAATAACTCAGTGCTGGCATTAATAGCCCGGGTAGGAAGTAGAAGATAAATCCAGATATCCAGACGATGAAGAAGAATTTCCACCTGCTTATCTTCCACCCATTTGCGGGCCTATTCTCCTCTTTATGTAATGTGGCAAACATTGCAGCGGACATTAATGTGCCAGGCCAGATCATTCCGGCCGGGCGTACCAGGAACCGTCTCGCTAGGCCAGCGAAGGTATAACCTAGGATCTGGGTTGATAGGGTGAGTAGTAGTTGGTAGACGATGCTTACATCTTGTTTATAAAATTGAGTTTGCTCAACGATAACGTCCGTTGCAAATGCAAACCCGAAAGATACATTACTGCTCACATATACGCAGCTATGCTCCTTTTCATTCCAAGTTCCCTGGGCAAGCCATAAGCGAAGTCGCCCAGCGCGGCTTCTATCCTTAAGAGTGGTCGTCGTTTGGCCGTTTGGGGAGGTAAGCCCATCTATCCGCACGCCAGCCTCAAAGTTTTCCGGCGGGTCGTCTGATCGTTTTAAAACATAATCCCATAAAAGACCAAGAGGATGAACAAGAAGCAACGCTATGACGGGTGTAATTGCAACGCTAGGGTATCTCAAGGAAAAGAAGAGATTTGTGGAAGAACCAAGCATAGAGAATAATGTAGATAATGTCCACATGCGAGGGGTATTTATAGATAGGGAAGTATTATCAGTTGGTGAGACAGAGGCTCGAACTTGAGCATAAGGCGAATTATCAGGAGGGTCCGGGTCGTCTCCTTCGTTTGCATCGTCGGAACCATCTTCGTCGCCAATAGCGGAGCTACTTGACTTCGAGTCTGGAGTTATGCCGTTTGTTAAAGCGGTATCGCTAACACCGAATCGACCCTCGAGACCACCAACTACTGTTGACCCTCCAATCTCTTCGGATAGGCTCTTTCTTCTCCGGCTTAGAGAGGATGCGCTCGCCCGGATGCCTACCGAGCGGTTGGCGTCGGTAGAGTATCGCCTCCTGGAGCGGCAGCTTTCTGAGCTACTTCGTCTCGTCGGCGACACCGGATCTTCGCCATCGCTGTCGGGATCCTTAATTTCAGGATGTATAGGAGCAGCTCCGTATGACCCCGTTCCAAACCCGGGCGAGGAACGGATCAAGAGGGGGGCTTTTGACATGATCCTTGATCCACGACTAGAGCTAGGGTGGATTCGAGTGTGGTCGGAGTCATGGCTCGTACTGGACGGGGAACGAAGAGTTCTAATAGGAACTTCTGTCGAGCTTGACAAGGAGGTAGCACTATTTGTACCATAAGGAGAGGTTGGCGACGTGGGGTTTGAGACATCGACAGGTAGAGCGGAGCTATCAGTAGAAGCATTAATGTTTATGGGTCGCAATGGGAAGGACTGCGAGTGGTCATTGTGGACACTATGGGATTCTAAAGATATAAGCGATCCATCATCCCTGCCTTTTGAAGGAACAGCGGGCATTTTTTAGTATATCGTTACGTAGCTGCAGCTGCGAAGGTCATATCATCCCGCGCGGAAAGGGCAACTGGATTTGCAAGAGGTATCCGGAAAGTGCCCAGTCTAGTCTACTGTGCATAGGTAGGTTTAATAATAAAGTGGATATGGGTTGGGGCTATTCAAAGATCGAGGTTGAACGGGAAAGAGTGGAGGCAGACCCTACATGTACATACCTACCTACATACATACCCGAGTTTTGTTACCCCCAGTCTCTGCTACATGTACCGTTCATATACATGTAGCTACCTATGCACGTGTATGTATACGCAAAGACACATCTGTATTGCTGCCTCTGGTTCTAATGTTCTCAAGCATACCGCAATGAATTTAGTAATGTGGTACCTTACATACCTTTTCTTAATTCACAAATTAGAAATGGCGGAGTTGAAGTCCAGTCCTTGTATGTGGGAAAGGGCTTAAGGCTGGTATCACAACAGTAGGACTGAAACAAGGGAAGGAAGAAAAAAAAGTTAGCCGCGGCCGTGACATCCAAAGCGGGAAGGGCCTAGAAGTTGCAGGCTTTACATACATATAGCATACAGGGTCGGAGCATACTAGCTACTAGCAGCATCCAGCACGCTGCACGCTGCACGCTGCAGTCGGCCTACCAGCCTACATAGGTACATAACATGGAGACTCTTCCAGCCACTAATCAACCCTCGCTTAAGTGGATCTCCGCCAACAATCCCTTTGATCACACGGTCGTACGATCAAAGATTGATTGATTAGATTGAGATGGATTAGATCAAAAAGATAATATTCTAATACTGTACGGAAAGCGAACTTCGGGTGGTGTTTATGTAGGTATTTATGACCTCAATACTTAATCCCTACCTACATAAGATAACCATGTTTTCATTAGTACCGTATACTATTACATATAAACGCTGGCTCGCCCTTGCTACATATGTGCATGGGACATAACAGGTATATTACCTAGGTACCTATGTACCTGTATGCAGTCTATACATGCACTATGTAAACTCTATCTATAAGCTTTGTAGCTGAAGCTAAGAAGGCAGGTAAATCGGTGCTAGATTACTTAGTAAGACACCTGACCAACATAAGAGTCATCTGTCTAATACAGATCCATTATTTGAACATCACCGATAATGAAAGTTATGTATGTAAATAGGTGTCAGATGCCACACCTAAGGTAAGATAGATCAGACCTATTATAATTTATAATATTGTAAGCCCTAATTCGTTGGTGGGGCTCGGCCAACACTAGTTCCGATTTGTGGTCGCTATCTAGACGCTGAAGAGTTCGAGTCTCAACACAGGAGAACGTGGGTCAGATGACAGATGTAACTTCACAACTTACATCGGGGGGTTTGTACGGATTATACTCGGTTCCAATAGCTCTGAGAGTATGTCACAGGAGCCAGAGATGAATTCTGCTGCTCTGAGTGCTGCCAAGTTGCAGCTTCGCTCATCAATGAAGCAGCGACTCGCAAACCTCTCGCAAGAATCCATCTTATCTCAGAGTGAGTTACTTTCATATAATAGAATATTATACATATATAGATGCATAGTTAATCATCCACCTAGGCGCAAGAGTCTTCGACTCGTTATGCAAATTCAAACCGTACGTTGGTGCGAAGAGAGTAGCGGTCTACCTGTCTATGCATGGTGGGGAAATCCAGACAGATCCTATTGTTAGACATGCTTTATCTTCGGGCAAGCAGGTATTCGTGCCTTACTTACACAGATCCGGCTTACAACTAAACGATGGACCGACGAGACTTATGGACATGGTAAGTCTGAAGGACGTCGAGGACTACGAGTCTCTAAAAAGAGACAAGTGGGGCATCCCAAGTGTTGACGCCTCTACGGTGCACGAAAGAAAGCGGAGTGTGGGCGAGCTTGATGGCAAAAGATCTGAGGATATCTCGCTGGATTTAATCCTTATGCCTGGTGTTGCCTTCGATGTCGACCCACAGTCTAAAGCCATCCGAAGGCTAGGTCATGGCAAGGGTTTCTACGACTATTTTCTCCATCGATATGCATTGGCTGCTTCACCCGAAGAGAAGACACGAAATGGTCGACCAGCTGTATTATTATATGCTCTAGCCTTGAAGGAACAACTTATCTCCCCGTCTTCGGGAGAATCTGTTCCGGTTGGACCCCATGATCAACCAATAGATGGCCTCTTTCTCGGAGATGGTCAAATCAAAGAGTCTGCGAATAACGGCGACGCAAACTAAAATGAGCACACCTTGACCAAGTTTGGGCGTCCCTGATTATCCATGATTATCCGCAATAATATCCTTATGGATATGCATAAAAGCGCAATCCTTAATAACTTCCCCAGCTGCAATCGTTTCTTGATCTTTTCATACGGCTTCTTGGATCAACGACACGTTGTCACCCTTTAGCAAGATTTGTCCTATAAAACCGTCAATCACGTAGAACAACACTAACTCCGGTTGTATAGTCATACCTAAGTGTCTTCTCTTCTCCTCTGTATTTGTCTTTGTGATTTGCTTTACTTCGACCGCGTCATCAATAACAAGGTTCATGAATTCGTCGAATCCCTGGGAAAACGGATATTAGTAGGAGCAAATAGATATAGGAAGAAGCAGAAAAGCCGGTGACTCACCCTAATTTTACCCTCGATTCTGATTGACAATTGTTCATATAACCAGATCTTGACAGTCGCGTGTGTTTGGAGAAGCTTGAAGATGAAGTTGATGGGAGGAAGCAAGATCTTGCGTCCGCCACCGCCGCCACGACCGGTCATCTTGATATATTTGAGTGTGAGTTAGTACTAGATATTCCTTGTCGGCGTATTGACGAGTTGGCTGGACGTAGAATCGGAAAGTACAACAATGGCGCGTGGGTGTATTAACGTATCTTGTTTGATTTTTGGTAGTAAATTGGAAATTGGACAAGGCAGAAAGAAGGCTGAAGTAGCTGTAATTGGCAAGCTAAGTAACTTCCATTCCATACATGTAGCAATCGACCCACTTTAATTAGGCTCAGCACCGATAGCTTTAATTCAGCCACAAATCCATATTTGACCCCTCCATATCTTTTCCTTTCAAGCCACGGAATGAAGCAAGTTCCCATACTTTTTCAGGCTCACATGGCAACCGCAAAGCACCTGCACTGATTGATGTTTCTTATTTTGGCCCCTCTTTCTCTCTACGCCGACACGTATAATAAAATCTTGCGCCTACGAACCTCGCCGAGAAATTTAGGCTGCTTACAAGTTTCGTCTTAGATCAGCTGTATTATCTAGTGCATTCCTCGGCGTTGGTGCATCATCCCAATAATAGTTATTATTCTCAAATCCACCGAACTTGCGACCGATTTCAAACTGACAGCCGCTGCTGCTCCTGACCTGCGTGCCCACCCCACGGCCGTCGACCTAATCGATATTTGCGCATCATGGCTGCGAACGGAGCGCAGCAGGGTTTCGGACCCGATGAGGTGCACCAGGCTATGCTGACTATGCGGGGTGGGGACTCGGATAAGAAGAAGAAAGCCCATGAATATCTAGAGCTCTTCCAGAAATCGGTTAGTACACAGCTGGGTTTTACTGTATAGTCTTCATCGTACCTCGTTACTGATACGGGCTATAGTCGACAGCATGGACCACAACCATCACGATACTGCAGTCAAATGCCGAAGCGGACATCAAGTTATTCGCAGCGACGACATTGAGAGGGAAGGTTAGTCAAGCACAAGATCTTATACCGTAGCCTGCGGCGAAGCTGACGGAACAACACCTTACAAGATAACATACGACCTATCAACCCAAGTACCTGCGTCCGAGATCCCGGCCGTGAGATCTCAATTGTTAACGCTCTTGAAACGTTTTGCGCCAGGCCCGAAGCCGATCAGGGTACAACTATGTGTGTGCCTGGCAATCCTAGCTATACAAATGCAAGACTGGAAAGACGTACTGCCTGTCGTGGTGTCATCCCTTGGCGATGATGTCGAAAGCCACGCTTGCATCTTGGACTTCCTTAGGGTTCTACCAGAAGAGGTGACCGAGGGGCGAAAAATCACTTTGACAGTACGTAGATCAAAGCTGTTTCAGCACGCCTCCTCCTATGGAGACGTTTTGTTACCGTTGCGGTTCGAAATGAATAAGAAGTCTAATAATTAACGTCTAGGATGAAGAGCTCACGTTGAGAACCGCCGAGTTATTAGAAGGAAATGCTCCACAGGTAGTGCAACTCCTGATTAATTATGCGCATTCATCGCGTAAGTTCAGTTCAGCCTTGTAATGAACATAGCTAATATGTGGGAATAGCGGTGGCTGCAACAAATCCTCAACTTTTTGAATGCATAACGTCCTGGCTACGTGAGGTTCCTATCAATGAGATCGTCAAATCCCCTCTGTTAAACATCGTCTTCAATGCCCTTGAGAGTGGTGTCTCTTTCACGGCAGCTGCCGAGTGCATTTCGACTATGGTTAGAGAGACTAGAGAGATAGATGACAACATAGAAACCATCCAGGTACTTCTACCGAGGGTTGTTGCTTTGCAGCCCAAGATTCAAAAAGTGGCCGAGGAAGAAGATTTTGAATCGTACAAGGCTCTCACCAGGTTGTTGGGCGACGCTGGTGCTTCGTGGGCCGTTGCCATTGCCCGCGAACCCAGCCATTTCAGAGCCCTTGTCGATGCTATTCTTGAGTGCGCCGCAAGAGATAAAGACAGAGAAGTCATCGAATACACTTTCGAGTTCTGGTACGAGCTTAAGCAGTATATCGTACTAGATAAATATATACAGTCACGTGTCGATCTCGTGGATGTATATGCGAAACTTGTCGATATTCTACTTAAGCATCTCGAGTATCCCGACTCGGTATCCGGTAACGAAAAGGATTTGTTTGACGGAGACAGGGAGGCAGAGGAGAAGTTCCGTGAGTTCCGGCACCACATGGGTGATACCTTAAAGGACTGCTGCGAGATCATGGGCGTTTCCGAGTGCCTGGCAAAGGTTCTTGATGCCATCAAGGTCTGGATGCAAAAATACGCAGGCCTGGCAAACGGTGCCTCAGTCCCTCACTGGCAACAGCTAGAAGCTCCGCTGTTCTCTATGCGAGCCATGGGACGCATGGTTACTAAGGACGAGGAAACCGTTCTACCTCAACTCATGCCCCTCCTGGTCCAAATGCCAGCTCACGAGAAGTTGCGTTTTGCGACGATCATGGTATTAGGTAGATACACAGAGTGGACAGCTGCCCACCCAGACTTTCTCAGTCCCCAGTTTAACTATATCGTTTCTTCTTTTGACACAAACTCAAAAGAGATTATGGGAGCCGCCGCTATGGCGATCAAATATTTCTGCATGGATTGTAGGAATCTCCTCAGCAACCAGATCATCCAACTTCAACAATTCTACGACCAAGTTCTGGACAAACTCCCCACGCTCAGCCAAGAAGAGATCACCGAGGGCGTCGCGACGGTAGTATCTGTACAGCCGGCGGACGAGATATTCAAATTACTCAAGCTCTTCTGCGACCCCTTAGTTCAGAGGCTGATGACCAAGGCCAACAATGCGATAGACAAAGAGAAGAAGCTAGCAGTCGCTGACCATTTACAGTTGATTACACTTTTCATCCAGTGCGTCGTGGTCCTGCCCCCTGTCCCGCGTGGCCAGGAAGATCCCGCAGTGAAATATTGGCAAGAGGTTTTCCCGATATTGTCAAAGATCCTGGAAAATTTCCTTGACTTTACCCCAATCTGCGAAAGAATTTGTCGATGTTGGAGATTCATGGTGATTGCCCATAGAGGAGTCATGGCTCCAATCCTCCCGGATATGGCGAATCAGCTAGCGAGTGGATTCGCCACGTCGAAGCAGGGTTGTTTCCTATGGGTCACCGGTGCTATTCTGCGGGAGTTCTCCGATGATCGAGAACACGTAGAGCAGGCTATGACAGAGCATATATACGTTTTCTTCGAGGCCCAAGCTACAAATGTGCTCCGTTTCCTCAGCACGCTATCACCTACGGACCTTCCGGATGTAACTGAAGACTTCTTCCGCCTTGTTGTCGACGGATTGTTGTATTACCCTCAGAAATTTATCCCATCATCGATATTCGGACCTGTATTCGAAGCCGCCCTCTCCGTTCTCGTCCTAGAGCAACGTGAGCCTTTGTCTGCTACCCTTCATTATATCCGAGATGTTCTTGGATGGGGTACCGCATTTTCGCCTCCGTCATATGACAACATGTCGGCCCCAGTAGCTGAACAGCTAAAAGTTCTCGTGAAGCAGCTCCTATTGGCCCAGGGAGAGACACTGATCAAGCGATTACTCGCTGGCATGATGATCACATTCCCGAAAGATTGCTTTGCTGATGCTAGTGGTGCCTTGCTAACACTATTCGAGATTTTACCTGACCAGACGGCAGCGTGGGTAGACCAAACGCTACGATTGCTACCTGAAGGTACCGTCTCGGCCACGGAGGTAGATCGCCTCATGACGAAGATCAAGGAGAAGCTTAGCACCAATGATACGGGCGACGTACGGCAAATACGCTCGATTCTCCAGGACTTCACCAACACTTACCGAAGGAGATATGTTGCGCCCCGAGACGGCTTAGGGGCGTTGGAGGGAGCACGATTTCGATTCGCTGGTTAGTGATCAGAGGTATTGCATGCATTGATTACCATATAGTACGATTGGGGAAGAAGGGCCCGATGATGGCGTGCCTGAAGTAGCTGGGATCCCAGTTAATGGTTTCGCCTAGTGCCGCGCAGCTATTGATTTTGAGCTGTTGGTGGAACTGTGGAAAGGAGTAGAATCCGCGGTCGCGGATGCAGTCGACGACGTAGATAGTTTAGAAGAAATCATACTTTGTCGGGCGTGGGGTGGCGATAGTGGCGTAGTTTGGCAGTGAATAGGGGAGTGCAAAAGAAAGATACCTATACCTACTACCTATAAGTAATTCCCTGCGATTGCAGATCGGATCGAATCAGATCACCACGGCAGATAGCCTAGAGATTGTTTGTACATACGCCAGCTTTTAATAGACCATAACTAGTGAAAGCAATGCAATACTATACTAAGGGGTTTATGGCCCGGGATAGGTGTCGTATAGAAAAGGGCGATGCTTAAGGCTAATGAGTGCGGCTAGTGGTTGTTTTGGGGGGTGGTTTTGTGGTATGGTATAACGTTGTTTCTATGTGCGATATAGACATGGCGAGAAGCTTTAGGTACTGTTGCATATAATAAGTAATGACATTTTATGATATTACAAGTTACCTTTTGGTCAAGTGGATAATCTGACAGGTACCTAATATAACTACGCTGTTTTTTTTTTTTTTTTTAATTAATTTTCAACTGATTTACATATTAAAATTACCTTGCGTTTCTATATCCTTTCGTCAATAATTTTATATATAATAGTGTCTGGTTTAACGTAAACTATTGAAGGAACTTCATGAAATATGACTCCCGAGGGATAACTCAGGTGAAGTGGGCAGTGGCCAATCATTTATAAATTAGAAGTATAACTAAGGTTGATAAGTTGTGAGATGTGAAGTTGCCTAGCCGCGAATATCTCTTCGACTTTCTGTGACTCCGAGTATTGATATCAACTGAAAAAATATGTGTAGATGAAAGTACCTATATACAGTCCTGTGGACCCCTCCTGTGATGCGATGCCGAATTGCCCCGCTGCCGCGCCTCCGTATCCGGATTAGTGGGGACATCTATCCGGGAACCGGCAATCTTTACCGGGCTGCCGCCCGTTAGAAATACGAAGGTATTTGCCACTCGTACCATTCATCACGGCATCTAAAAGAGGCATTACATGCGCCAACAGTGTCAGGGTCGTCGAATCTGGCAAGGATTAGGATAGTATGCCGCCGCATTTTTTATACGTTTACTTTGAGATATCCTGAGCTCGGAGATTTAAGCTTTTTTTTCTTTTAGCAAT